GTTTTTAAATAAAGTTGTAATGAATGTGGATTTGAAAACAATTGTTTTGGGATTTCATGGTTTATAGAAATGGTTTGATTAATTAAAAATGAAAAATTTCTTTTGAAAATTTGGGTCGTTACATCACTCGTCGGATGTAAAAGAGATTTCGTATGATGAATACAAAACATTGTCGCCAACACCTCTTAGGCGTTCTAAGCGCCAAAAAGTTATGTTCATATGGTATAAGTCGCCATGGATACAAATGAAGAGGAAAGGTGTTACACGACAACAACCAGCACCGTTAGACAATCTCTTAGATCCTACCGTACACACTGTTTATAAAGAACGGGATGACTCGTTGTTGTTTGGTCACAGTTATTTAACCAGTTTTGCTACACTTGAGTTTTGGACACGGTTATATGTGGATAGTCATGGAGGATGGTTGCCATGTGATGTAAGTAATATAATTATTTGCTTATTACATAATACTCTTCTAATAACAATGCTTACTTTACTTCAAAAAAATTAATTGGCAGCACATCATGATGTGGATCTCATTGCTAGTAGACCGTAAAGCGGATGACGCTCGGTGGACGGTTGTGTCGTCAGCTATCAACACTGATACATTTGAGTGGAGTGACATTGCTGACGGATCCGTTTACCCAGCTTGGGCAAAGTGTGATACAGTATAATTTTGTTTGGATTACATTACCTGAGTATTTTTATACTAATTAATTATTTCTAACCTTTTTTTGTAGCTTTGCATTCCAATCAATATACTACATGATCATTGGTTTTTGGGTGCTTTGGATTTGAAGACATTCCAAATGACTATATACGATAGTCATTGGAAGGGCGACTACTATTCGGAAAATGAGGATTGGTTTATAGGTATGAGAGCTCGCATCCACAAACTGCTAGTGGGAGTTAGCTACTGGGGTACCGAACCAACTGATTCAATCTCACTTGAGAGCTTTAAGATGACCCTCGAAAAGGCCCCAGACATACCACAAAAGATTGGCAGCAAAGAGGATTGTGGGGTATTTTTATGTTGGTTCCTGGAGGTGTTGATCACCGAGAAATCGATTTCTATAGATGGTAAAACCACCGGCTCATGGGCTATGGGTTATAGAAAACGACTAACGGAAATATTTTCGGGTACAAGGACAAAGATAATTTGAACATCGTATTTGTAATATGACTTATACGTACATCCTTTAATTAGTTCATGTATTTATGAACATTGTAGTTGTTGTTTGTTCATTTGAATTGCATTTTATATTTTATTATTTTATAAAACAAAAGTTATACATTTTATGAAAGCAAAACTTATACATTATACTCCGGAACCATGTATTACAAATGTATTCTGGAAAGATGTATTATATTTTATGAAAGCAAAACTTACACGCAAAAAAAAAAGTCAAATGTATTCCGGAACCATTGTCCAGAATCGTACTCCGGAATTCCGAAGATCTCTCCGGAACAATGTGTTCCGAAGAATGTGGTTACTTTAACAACAAAAAAAAATGATACTTTTGTCAAAAATATCATTTATAAGGGTTAGATTACTCAATTTTTGTTAATTTAAATTTGAAGATTAACCTAATCTGACATAAAGACGTTTTTAGCAAAACATATGATCAATTTTTATTAATTAAATTTGAAGATTAACCTAATCTACAGTAAAAGATGGACATAAAGACGTTTTTAGCAAAACATATGATCAAAGGACTGAAACTCCATTTTCTCTAAACAAGGGACCGAATTTGCAGTTTACTCATTGATACCCAATGCTCTCGGCCACTTCCCAACAAAACGCTACCAGACTATCGTTGAAAGAGTAAAAGGCTGCCGTCGCCGATCTCAATCCCACGTTCCGATGAACAACCGCGATGCTTCCACAGATGCAACCACCGCCACTGCTACTCCTGGACTGATCATCTCCAAAACAGAAACCCTCCAATCATTTCTTTCCACATCAATCAACAACCCTCACCTCTCCCCAGACCTCCGTCAAATCGCATCATCCCTATCTCTCCGACCCTCTTCCGTGCCCTACAAATCTCTCCGATCCATTTGGCTCGCCTCCGATCCATCAACTCGACCTGCTCTATCCGCCGTCGTAACTGGTTCGCACTTCATCCTCAACAGTCCCCAACCTCGGGAAAAGGTAATTAATCATCATTATCTTTTGCATATATGAAGTTCCAATTGATCAGTATTGACATCAAAACCTGTATAAACTAAATTATCATGTCTTCTGGTTTCAAATGTTAGCTTCCGATCACTTGATTTTAATGTGTTTTGCAATTGATTTCAAATTTTCAATAAACCCTAAGATTTACATCTGTGATCAGAGCGAGGAACTGAAAGCGAGGCTCAGGAAATACGAAGAGGCGGCAGAGAGGAAAGCATATAAAGAGCTAGTGAAGGATATTACTCCAAGAAGAGATGAAAGTGAACCCTTTTCGTCATACAAGGATCAACTAGGATTCGGTGAGTTCTTGTAGCTACCCTTTAGTTGATTTGATCACAGAAAGCAATGAATTTGTGCTTTGATCTTACCCTTTCTCTTCCGCCATTAAAGAAAGTTGCTTGATCTTGGCAAAACTTGCTTCTAACATGAATCTTGAACCTGTTTTTTTAGGTTTACATGTGGCGCTTACGATGTTTACAGGGTATTTAGTTGGATATTATACATTTAGAGCATTGTTTGGGCATAGTCCTGTAATGGTAAAGAACTTAATTCATTCAGCAACTTTTTAAGTGTATTCAAACACCCAATTGGAGTTAAATTGATCATACTTTTGTTGATTTTGCAGCATGCTGCTGGAGGGATACTTGGATTTGTGGTGGGGATGCTTGTAGAAACAGTTCTTTTTATGATAAGAACTACCAGCCAAGATCGTAAGCAGACCACATTCACAGCTTCTAAACTAAAAAAGAATCAATAGATTTTTGTGTGTAAATCTTTATAAATTATTGTGTTTTTTTGCAATTTTGGGTAGAAGAAATATTTGTTGTTGTTTACATGAATGCCTATTTCTTTGATTTGGATGGTTGTATTAGGAATGTAAATGGATATTGGAATAATAATTTAGTTTTAAAAAACTATTTACCATGAACATTATTTATTCTTGAAAGAAAAAAACACTAATAAAAGTGTTTTTTTTTTTGTACATTGGAGTTTTAAACAAGTTTTGTTGTGTTATTTATATTATTATAACTAGATATGTTGCCCATGTTCCGCATGGGTCTTGTACGTCTGATTTGAGTGTCGTTTCTGATTATAGATTAATAGGCATCATTGTTGATTCTTTTAATTGACTTTGGATTATTTTAATATGGATAAACAGTCGGAGACGAATAGATAGAGGGCAGGAAAAAAACAAAAAAGTTAAATATGAGGATCAATATACAAAAAGAAGAAAATGACAGACACAGAAAGTGCAAGGATGAAAACAGTCAAAAAAACACGAGTTTCACTATTCCTAACGCGTTGTTGACTCTTTTAGCGAAAAAACCCGGGCTTTGGTCCGGGCTATTTTTTGTGTTTTTTTATGAAAAAATGTAAAAGTTTTGACTGTAAGGACCAAAAGTGTCAAAATGGCTAAAGAATTAAAGGGATTGGAATTAGCAAGTTTTTAGAAAATGGACCAAAGTTTTCAATTCCTTAAAGTTTTGTGGCCAAACTTTGAATATTAAAAGGTTCTAAAAAAATGTAAAAATTTTGATTGCAGGGACCAAAAGTGTCAAAATGGCTAAAGAATGAGAGGCGAAGTTGACAAAAATATCATGTAAAAGTTTTGACTGTAAGGACCAAAAGTGTCAAAATGGCTAAACAATTAAAGGGCTTGGAATTAACAAGTTTCTAGAAAATGGACCTAAGTTGTCAATTCATTAAGGTTTTATGGTCAAACTTTAAATATTAAAAGGTTCCAAAAAAAATGTAAAAATTTTGATTGCAACGACCAAAAGTATCAAAATGGCAAAAGAATAAAGGGCAAAATTGACAAAAAAACATACAACTTTATATATATATATATATATATATATATATATATATATATATATATATATATATATATATATAT